CTTGGTCCCACCAGGAAAACAGAAGCTACTCTAAGCATGTAAAACCAAGGGACTTTAATGCGAAGAACATGTCACAGAGACGATGAGGTAACTGAGACATTAGCAAAAGCAGGAAGGCTTCTGCCACATCCAAACTGCAGGAATTACTTGCGTAGGAGCCTGAGTTTGAAGGAAGCTGGAATCACATCAGGGCTGCCCAGTGGAAGCTGAAAAAGGAGGAAAAAAATATACAGGTACTGTAACCTCTTGAAGACAGAGGGAAAGAGAAATAGCCGAACTTTCCCCTTCCCCCATCCCTATCAGCACTGTCTGCTGCATTCCCAAACGCATCCTGCAGCTGTCAGGGCAGAGCAGGGGCAGGTGAGGAACAAATATGCAGAGGGTTGTAAGCACACCATACATTTGATTTGACTAAGCTGTGCTAGACTGCTCTCCGTAATAACTAGTACCAGCTACATCCTCCAGCAACATGTCCCCAGGTACCATCTGCCCTTTATGGTCTGCTGCTGTTGATGTTTAGTTGCTAAGTTGTGTCTGACTCCTTTGCGTCCCCATGGACTCTCGCCCGTCAGACTCCTCTGTCCGTGGGAATTCCCAGGCAAGAATACTGGAGTGAGTTACCATTTCCTTCTCCATACTCCAAAAAGTAGAGTAGACATCTCTTCCATCTTCCTTTGAATGTGTCTAACCTATTGTAGATGCCTCAGATATCTCCTTAAATCTAGCATCCTCCTGGAGCTCGGGAGGCCATCCATCCATCCGGCCATGGCTTCTTTTTGACTTTATATTTGAGCCATAGCCTCTTGAGGGCAGCAACCTCATCTGTTTTATTTGTAAGCTCCTGCTTGTCATTATACTCAACGCCACTGACCAAGTGATAAACAAACTTGTGGTTTAGTCATGCATGTTACTCCTTTTCATTATGATTTGGCTTGCAGACTCAATTGGTGGCAGTTTTCAAGAAACCACTTGTGAAATTGTGGAGGGAAATCTCAAGGGAGATCCTGTGGGTGAAGGAGAGAATTGACACTCAGCCAGCAAACACAGTTGAAGACAGTGATGGTTGTCAAAGCGCTGAGTTGGTTGGTCAATAGTCTCTGTTCTGAGCCATGCGTAGTAACCGATGTGCCCTGACTGCCTCAGCCATTTCCTCGGAGCCATCCCTCCATCCAAAATCAACAACTAAAGGGAATGTATATGCCTGGCCTGGCCAGGGACTCTAGAACCCTGCTGTTGCAACCTGGCTGCCACTTTCCTGATAGGTTCTTTTGTCTTTCTTTTTTTTTGATGTGGACCATTTTTAAAAAGTCTTTATTGAACTTGTCACAATTTTGCTTCTGTTTTATGTGCTGGTTTTTGGCCAGGAGGAATGTGGGACCTCAGCTCCCAGACCAGGGATTGAACCCACAGCCCCTGCCCTGGAAGGCAAAGTCTTAACTGCCAGGAAAGTCCCCTGATTGGTTCTTGCATTTCCTTTGTGTATGTGTGCGTGTGCGCACTGTTATGTCTCTGTGACCCCATGGGCTGCAGCCTGCCAGGCTCCTCTGTCCATGGGGATTCTCCAGGCAAGAACACTGGAACAAGCTGCCATGCCCTCCTCCAGGGGATCTTCCCGACCCAGGGATCGAACCCCCGTCTCTTATGTCTCCTGCGTTGGCAGGTGGGTTCTTTACCACAAGTGCCACCTGGGAAGCCTTACTGGTTGTTAAATATTTTAAATACCCTCCCCCGAAGGAGTATCACAGAAGAAGTGCAGGGGGAAGTCTGCAGAATTGTGTGTTCTATGACTCCCAAGATCCTGGCTTCTATGCATGATGATGGCAGAGAGAATTCTCCAGGATTATACTCCTGATAGAAAACACTCCACCTTTTTTGCTTTCTAGTCATTTACAGCATACACAATAAAGTGCACACAGCTGCAGGGTACAGCTCATTGAATTTTTAATGTGTGCACCCATGTATCTTCCACCAGATCAAGATACAGAACATTTTCAACCTCCCAGCAGGCTCCCTTCTGTCTCCTTTCCATCAATTACCCCAAATAAACACAATGCCAACATCTATCACTATAACTTAATTCTGCCTGTTATAAAACTTCCCGTAAATGGAAGCATAGAGTACATACTCTTTTGAGTCTGGTTCCTTTTTCTCAGTGTGAAAAATGTACTACTTTTATATTTTATTTGGCTATTTCCCCAAATTGTTAAATTGGAGTCTTGGCTCACTAATTTCAACCTTTCTTCTATTTGCATTTTTAAAACAATTTTAAAAAATTGTGGCAAAATACATACAACACAAAATTTACCATTTTAACCATTTTAAACTGTATAATTCAGTGGCATTAATTACATTCATAATGTACAACCATCAAGATTATTTCCAAAATTTTTCCTCACCCCCAAACAGAAATTTCATATTCGTTAAGGGATAACTCCCCATTCCTCTTCCCCTTGAATTCTTGTAACCTCTAACTTAGTTCCTGTCTCAGGGAATTTACTTATTCCAGATATTTCATATAAGTGGAGTTATACAATATGCGTCCTTTTGCACTTGGCTTATTTCACATAACATGATGTTTTCAAGGTTCATGCATGTTGTAGCAGTATCAGAATTTCCTTCTTTTGGGGGCTTTATAGTATCCCATTGCATGTATATATCACATTTTATTTATTCACTTACTTGTTGATGGACACTTGAGATGCTTCTATCTTTCGGTTACTGTGATTAATGGTACTATAAACATTTTACACAAATATCTGAGTCCCTGTTTTTAACTCTTTGGGGCATATACCCAGGCGTGGAGTTGCTGGGTCATATGGTAAGTCGTGTGGGTGGTGCATGCTCAGTCACTCAGTTGTATCCCGCTCTTTGTGACCTCATGGACTCTAGCCTGTCAGGCTACGTTGTCCATGGAATTTTCTAGGCCAGAACAGTAGATTGCCATTTCCTCCTCCAGGATATTCCTGACCCAGGGATCAAACCAGCATCTCTTGAGCCTCAGGCATTGGCAGGTGGATTCTTTATCACTGCACCACCTGGGAAGCCCATGGTAAGTCTATGTTAGAACTGTCCAACTGTTTTCAAATTGGCTGCATCATTTTACATTCCTAGTAGTAATCACAAATGTTCCAATTTCTCTACATCATTGCTAATCTATGTAATTTTCTATGCTTTTATAGCCATCCTAGTTGGCAGGAAGTTGTATCTATCTCATTGTAGCTTTGATTTGTATTTCACCAATGACTAATGATTTTGAGTATCTTTTAATGTGCTTTCTGGCCATTTGTGTATCTTTGGGAAAATATCTATTCATGTCCTTTGCCTATTTTTTAATTTGTCTTTTTGTTATTGAGTGGTAGGAGTTTTTTTTTTTAAATCACAACAGTGATTCTGAAGAGACGACAAGTCTAAGAAGAGAAAACGGTATGAAGAACGTTCTTGCAGTCACAGTAAGAAGGAAAAGCCTAAGTTTTTAAAACAAGAGCATTCTGGGGAGAACAGCAAATGGAGCCATTCTGATTCTGACAGAAAGCCCAGAAGCCATGACCAGAGTCCAGAGAAGAGAGGATCTGGAAGAAAGGAGAGGAGCAGCAGGAGCCAGAGCCGGGATGAGAGGAGTAGAAGCCGAAGCAGAAGTCTCGGCAGTTACAAGCCGAGAGAAGTAAGGAAACGGCCGCGGCGCAGCCCAGGTGAAGAGCGGGACAGAAGAAGTGACACCAGATGCCGTGGCACGGATGCGTACAGAGGAGGGAAGGTGCATAGAGAACATTATCGGGAGATAAACATACTAGAGTGACGCCAAAAGAATGGAGCAGAAGTAGAGAGTAGAGACTTAAACATGCAACGGTTAACTGAGAATAAATATCTCCACTTTTTTCTTGAATACCTTTAGCAAAGGCTAAATTATATACTGTTGTCTTTCTAATAAGAAGCTCTATTTTAATTTTTCATCTCTGTAAACTTCCATCAAGAACAAAACTACATGAATCCCATAAGAATAAACTCTGCAAATATTTGTAAGTAATCTATTTGGAGGCTGTAAAAATATATTCTGTTGACACATGTTTCTTGTACCCTATACTGAAATAAAAACCCCTTATTACTCTGTGACATTTTCATAATTAAAAGAATGACAGTAAAAAAGATATTCTGGATGTTATACTCTTATCAGATATATAATTTGTAAATATTGTCTCCCATTCTGTGGATTGTTTTCTCTCTTGATTACCTGCACATGCTGCAATGAAGATCTGGCGGAGCCAAATTAAAAAAAAAAGTGAGGATGATGGTGTTTTTTTCTTGCCTTATTGGCAGATAGTGTGATCATTTTATTTCCAAATTCCCATTTTTAACTATTTTTTAAAATTTTATTCATCTGTTTATGTTTGCACTTATTGTAGCTGCACTGGGTCTTTGTTGCTGTTGCAACGAGTGGGGGCTAGTCTCGAGTCGTGGTGCATGGACTTGTCATCGCCATGGCTTCTGGCTGCAGAGCCCAGGCTCTAGGCTCACAAGCCTCAGTAGTTGCAGTGGGCGTGGGGGCTCTCGAGTGTAGGCTCAGTAGCTGTGGAGCAAGGGCTGAGTTGTTCCACAGCATGTGGCACCTTCCTAAACCAGGGATGGAGCCTGTGACCCTTACACTGGCAGGAGGATTCTTAACCACTGGACCACCAGGGAAGTCCAGGCAGGATCTAAGTTGCGGCATGGGGATCTAGTTCTCTGACCAGGGATTGAACTTGGCCCTCCTGCACTGACACCAAGGAGTCCTGACCATTGGACCACCAGGGAATCCGCATGCTTTCTCTTAAAAAACATCTACTTGTTAGACTACTATGTGTAACACATTTTCACACAATACTACAAACTAAGTAACAATATGACAAACACCAAGTCTGTTTGATTCCCCATTGCATCCCCAGTGCTAGCATGGCCATGACAGACAATATTTGTTGAATGATGACCTACTGTGTGCCATGCATAATACAACAGGCAAGGTGGGCATGACCCTAATCCTCAGTCCTAGTGAGAAATCCTACTTCCTCAAAGTAATAAACGTTTGAATATTAAAGCTATTATCAAAGACAGAAACAACTAAGAGGACCCCTTATCATGATTCTATTGGTAGCTTTCTGCATTAACTCTTATAACAACCCTGTGAAATGGCTGGGCAAATATTATCATCCCCAGTTCACACCATCTGAGCCACCAGGGAAGCCCAGAGAAAAAAATCAGTTCAGTTCAGTTCAGTCGCTCAGTCGTGTCTGACTCTTTCCAACCCCATAGACTGCAGCACGTCAGGCTTCCCTGTCCATCACCAACTCCCAGAGCCTACTCAAACTCATGTCCATCGCATTGGTGATGCCATCCAGCCATCTCATCCTCTGTTATCCCCTTCTCCTCCTGCCTACAATCTTTCCCAGCATCAGGGGCTCTTCCAATGAGTCTGTTCTTTGCATCAGGAGGCCACAGTGTTGAAGCCTCAGCTTCAGGATCAGTCCTTTCAATGAATGTTCAGGACTGATTTCCTTTAGGATGGACTGGTTGGATCTCCTTGCAGTCCAAGGGACTCTCAAGAGTCTTCTCCAACATCACAGTTCCAAAAGCATCAATTCTTCAGTGCTCAGCTTTCTTTATAGTCCAACTCTCACATCCATACATGACTACTGGAAAAACCATAACTCTGACTAGACGGACCTTTGTTGGCAAAGTAATGTCTCTGCTTTTTAATATGCTGTCTAGTTTGGTCATAACTTTCTTTCCAAGGAATAAGCGTCTTATAATTTCATGGCTGCAGTGATTTTGCAGTGATTTTGGAGCCCAAGAAAATAAAGTCTGTCCCTGTTTCCACTGTTTCCCCATCTACTATTGATATTTCTCCCAGCAATCTTGATTCCAGCTTGTGCTTCATCCAGCATGGCATTTTGCATGAGGTACTCTGTATATAAGTTAAATAAGCAGGGTGACAATATACAGCCTTGATGCACTCCTTTCCTGATTTGGAACCAGTCTGTTGTTCCATGAAATTCTAACTGTTGCTTCTTGACCTGCATACAGATATCTCAAGAGGCAGGTAAGGTGGTCTGGTATTCCCATCTCTTGAAGAACTTTCCACAGTTTGTTGTGATCCACACACTCAAAAGCTTTGGCATAGTCAATAAAGCAGAAATAGATGCTTTTCTGGAGCTCTCTTGGTTTTTCTATGATCCAGTGGATGTTGGCATTTTGATCTCTGGTTCCTCTGCCTTTTATAAATCCAGCTTGAACATCTGGAAGTTCACGGTTCATGTACTCTTGATGCCTGACTTTGAGAATTTTGAGCATTACTTTGCTAGCATGTGAGATGAGTGCATTTGTGCAGTAGTTTGAACATTCTCTGACATTGCCTTTCTTTGGGATTGGAATGAAAACTGACCTTTTCCAGTCCTGTGGCCACTGCTGAGTTTTCCAGATTTGCTGGCATATTGAGTGCAGCACTTTGACAGCATCATCTTTTAGGATTTGTAATAGTTCAACTGGAATTCCATCACCTCCACTAGCTTTGTTCATAGTGAAGCTTCCTAAGGCCCAATTGACTTCGCATTCCAGGATGTCTGGCTCTAGGTGAGTGATCACACCATCGTGATTATCTGAGTCATGAAGATCTTTTTTGTACAGTTCTTCTGTGTGTTTTTGCCACCTCTTCTTAATATCCTCTGCTCAGTAATTCTCTAGGGATTCCTACTAGCCAGCACTGCATTAAATGATTTACATTCATCATCTCATTGAATTACCCAATAACCCTGTAAGTTATTACTTCTTATATCCTCTTATTTTCCCCATTTTCAGGCAAGAAAATCAATGAAGCTAAAACAAATATAAGTAACTGTGCCAGGGAGTGAGTGGTGTACATGTGTGCATAATTTTTTTAAAGAACTCATTTAAAAATATTTGTTTATTTATTTGGCTGCTCTGGATCTTAGTTGAATCATGTGGGATCTAGTTCCCTGACCAGGGATGCAAACTGGGCCCCCTGTGTTGGATGTGCAGAGTCTTAGCCCTGGGGGGGGGGGGGGGGGGGGCGGGGGTGGTCCTTGTGTGCATAATTATTAAGCAGCAGGGTCATGGGTTATCTCAAGTGGTGAGACTCCAAGGCATTCCACTGTGCCCAGAAAAGGCAGCTGAACACACATAGCAGGTGAAGATGCTGAAATGAGAGACAGCCCAGGCACCTTTATTACCATCCAGATATTTAACAGGTGTCCAAACATGATGCTAATTTATTCCGGACAGTTTGAAGAGAAGACTCATCTTTAAATGGCCGCAAAAAATATCCTACCATAACAGACACAATTTAACTATTGCAATAATTTTGGAAGAGAATGTTTTGCTATTTCCTCTAGAAGCAAGGCTTACTATTTAAATCAGGAACACTCAGAAATATCAAGAGAACTTAGCAAACCCAAAATACATCCTCATGCAATCCATTATTTACGAGGGCATCTGCCTACCAGGGCCAATTGGATGGCATTTTCACTGCTTTATGTGTCCAGGCAGAAGGAGCAAGTAACACAAGAGCTGGGAGGGACTCTGGGAACCAGCTGGTGACTAGTTAGTTACCAGTGCGCAGTCCCCGATTTACAGAGGCGGTGAGGCTCACGGATTTTCCAGGACTTCCGGAAAAATATTCCGTGCTAAAAGGCCTTCCCACCATTACAAGTCAGTCTATTCCTTTCTCTCTCTTTCTATTCTTTCTTTTGTTCTCTCCCCAGCTGCTTTCTTCTTTTTCTTCAACACATTTTTTTGAACCGGTGGTGTGCAAGAAAAGCATGAACACTGACCCCAACAGATTAAATCCCGATAGATTTAATCACAACAGATTTAGAAAAAAACAAACAATTAAACCAAGAACCTGATTCTTCGAGCTTCCCCTGCCACTGTCTACGCCTCCAGGCGTAGAAGGAGGGGTTGGGGTGGGGGTGGGGGGCGCAGGGACGCCTCGTGGTCGCTCGTTCCCGGGTAGCAGCAGGGGGCGCCTGGGCTGCTCCGCGCCCCGGGCGAGTCTGGGCAGCGCACAGCTCGGCGGGTCTCTTAGCGACCCGAGCGGCGGGGAACACACACCACCGGAGGCCGGGTGGGCAGCCGAGGCACCAAGGCTGACCACAGGCGGCTCTTCCCGCCGGCGCCGCGGGCCGGGATGCGGGTGGGCAAGAACTGCAGGCCCGGGTAAGCGCGCGCTCGAGCGAGGGCGCATCCCGTGGGTGCCGCGTGGGGGCGCATGCGCTCCGTGCTTGCTGGGGTAGGGGGTGGGGGTGGCGGCGGAGGACCCGGCCTCCTTCCCTCAGTTAGGTCTCCCGCACCTAAACGATCGTAACAGAACAGGACCAGCTCGTGCCACGCTCTTTACTGTCTCCTAGAGGCAGATTCCTTATCTGCAATGCAGGAGACACCGGTTCGTTTCCGGGGTCAGGAAGATCCCCTGGAGAAGGAAATGGCAACCCACTCCAGCATTCTTGCCTGGAGAATCCCATGGACGGAGGAGCCTGGCAAGCTTCATCATTTCATGGGGTCGCACAGAGTCAGGCACGACTGAGCGACTAAAACACCACCAGAGGATGTAAATTAATATACCCTTTCTAGATGGGAGGGCTTCTCTGCTGGCTCAGCTAGTAAAGATTCTGCCTGCAATGCGGGAGACCTGGGTTCGATACCTAGGTCTGGAAGATCCCCTGGAGAAAGGCATGGTAACCCACTCCAGTATTCTTGCCTGGAGAATCCCATGGACAGAGGAGCCTGGCGGGCTGCAGTCCTTGCAGTCGCAAAGAGTTGGACAAAACGGAACGAGTAACACACCTCCAAGATGGGAAACTGATGGCGCAAGAGTTCTCTGCGGACAATGGTTTAGCCTGCAACCCACTCTTCTCGGGGTTAGCCTCCTGCATCCTACATCCAGTGTGAGAGGTCTGGATGTTTGAGGGGCCGTACCAGAAGTCTTTCCCCGCCCAGCAGGTGACTGTGGCCAAGCCAAGCTGGTGTTTCGGGGGTTGCCTCAGACCCTGGGGTGGTCAGTTGTCATTGTAAATGGTTGGCAGGAACCCGAGGCTTTTTGCCTTGGCTGGTTCCTTGAGCTGTTTATGAGAACAGAATTCAGCTCTCTTGGAGGTAGCAGCCATGTGGTGGTGAAGTTTCCAAAGTCTACAGTCAGCAAGGCTGGAGTTGAAAGCCAGTTTTCCTCTTGTTTGACTGGTGACCTTAGACAATTAGTTGCTCTTTCTGGGCTCAGTTTTCTTAACTTTAAAATGGGAACAATAAAAGGAATGAGCTTTCTAGGATTGCTCAATGGCAACCCACTCCAGTGTTCTTGCCCAGAGAATGCCATGGGCAGAAGAGCCTCGTAGGCTACAGTTCATGGGGTTGCAAAGAGTTGGACATGGCTGAGTGACTAACACACAAAACTCTGTGAGGATTTAGTGACTTAGCACTTGTAAAACAGTTACTGCCACATTTATGCACTGTATACATGTTAGAGATTATGGACTCTTCTGAGAATCTCTCCCACTGCCAGTTTCAAACTTTTTGTTTTGAAATAACTATAGGCTCACAAGAAGTTGCAAATATAGTGCAGAGGTCCCATGTACCCTTCCTCCAGATGCTTCCAGTGGTACCATCTGCATAACCTTAGTACAGTACCAAAGCAGGAAATCAGCACTGTATGTATGTATGAATTAGATGGTAAACTTTACTTGAATTTCACCAGTGTTCACTTGTACTTGTGTGTGTGTGTGTGTAGTTCAGTAAGATATTGTCATATGTATATATTAAGATACAAAACTGTTTCCTTACCGCAAGGGAACCACTTCGTGCTATGCTTTAGTTTTCACTCATTTTACCACTCACACCACTTGGCAACCACTAATTTGGTCTCCATTTCTAGAATTCTGTTGTTTTGAGGATGTTAGATAAATGGAATAATACTTTTATAAAAGATACAAAACCTTTTGAGATTGGTTGCTTTTCATTAAGCAGAAGCCCTTGAGACCCATCCCAGATGTTGTGTGCGTCAATAGTTCATTTTTGCTGCTGAGTCATATTTCATGGCACAGATGTTTATCCATCGTTTTTCCATTTCCCTGTTGAAGGACATTCAGGTTGTTTCTGGATTTAAGCTACTACGTATAAAGCTGTTATAAACATTTGTGTACAGATTTTGTTGTGAAGATGTTTTCATTTCTTTAGGGTAAATGCCCAATACTCTTTTGCAGTTCTTAAAGATGGAAATATCCGAGTATCATATAGTGACTGTGAAATAGTAAATGCTTAGAAAAATGTTCTTGCTTTATTTTCTGGGTTAAGCAAAATTTTTCATGAACTTAACAGAATGCAGAGAGGCAAGTTTATCAGCTATGATAGGCAAAGTGAGGTAAGTCCTCCAGCCAGACTGGTTCCCTTATTCACCTCTTTGGAACTTTGTTTCCTAGTTGAAAAGTGAGGAAGTTAGACTGGATTTCTTTCAAAGTTTGTGCTAGCTCTAATGGTCTATCAAGCTTGAGCTAGCTGCCACACTTTCCCCATTTTGAGTTGTATGACTGTGCTTGAGTAAAAACATTGGTCATCAGATTTGATTTTATGATGCATTTGGATGTTTGAATTAGTTGTACATATGTGGAAAACAGGGCTTCCGTGGTAGCTCAGCTGGTAAAGAATCTGCCTGCATTGTAGGAGACCCCAGTTTGATTCTGGGTCGGGAAGAACTTTGGTACTATAGGGGGTAACTTGCTAACAAGTCATGCTGAATGAGTCATCAAATCTCAAGGTAAGATAGAATTTCAACATCTCCCACCACTTAGCTATTTAGGAGTGATTTATTAATTGCGAAGAACAACTTGTAAACTCATATTTTTGTATCCTCTCTTCTACATTTTCACAGCAGAGATGGATTAAACCCTTAAAACATACACATGCATGTACAGCAAGCAAGAAATTTCCAGGACTCAAAAGAGAAGAATAAGGATAAAGCTGGAATCTCGTAACATGTTTTGTGCCTATAAAGATGAGCGTGACAAGAAGTAGATTTACTGTAATGGGTCATTATAGATGAAAGGGGCCTGGAGGTGGAGGAGGCTTCAAGGAAAGACACCAATAATATAGAAATATCTGACTAGCGCCATGTGATGTATTAAGATAATGAGAGACCTGCCGTTAAGCTGCTCGAATGCCAAGTCCTGATTTTGGCACTGGCTGGATATATTAGATTATCCAGATCTCTTTTTCCTTTCTATTTGTCCATCGATCTCTTCCATCTTAGCTTCCTGCCCTAAAAACTCAGTGCAAATAACTGTCTGATGGGTAAAGAAACATAGTGAAGCAGATTGCATATGAGGTTGTAGGGAACAATGGAGACCATGATTAAGAGAGAACAGGACGTGTCTAAAGACGGCAGCCACTATTCCAATAGGGGCTCCATGGAAAGGTGGACCTAGCGTTCCCAGAGCTCCCGATTTTTGTTCCACATTATTTGCATGAGCTTTTTCGTATATCAGAAGCTCTGACACATAAACACCTTTCTTACCTTTCTCCAGAGTCACCCTAACTTATTAAAATCCCAGCTCTCCCCCTTATTAACTGTGGGAACTTTGACAAGTGTTTGTTATGTTTTTCAACTTCTTTGTGCCTCAGTTTCCTTACCTGAAATAATGTTAGTACCTACTTCATAGGATTGTTATGAGATGAATTTGTGTAAAGCATTGAGCACAGCACGTGTTATATAGAAAGTTCTCCTTACGTGTGAACTCTTATGATTCTTATTAAAGCACAAAGGGGATCAAATGATGGGTTTGTGGGCCTGATACAGCCCATGAATGGTTAGTTTGCTGCCCTTGACCCTGCTGAGTTGAGAGGAGAAATCAAGGCCCACAAAGATTAAATGAAGGGTGAAGGTCATTCAGCTAGTTGGGGGTGCTGTGCTATGCTTAGTCACTCAGTCCTATCTGACTCTTTGTGACCCCATGGACTGTAGCCTGCCAGGCTCCTCTATCCATGGGATTTCCCAGGCAAGAATACTGGAGTGGGTTGCAATTTCCTCCTCCAGGGGATCTTCCCAACCAAGAAATCAAACCCAGGTTTCCCGCATTGCAGGCGGCTTCTTTACCATCTCAGCCACCAGGGAAGCCCAGTTGGGGGTGAGTTGTCACCATTGTCCAGGTTCTTACCACTGCTCTGTGTCCCTTTAAAGGATAAGACAGGGTCCAGGAGGGGTTATAACTTGTACGTATCCTTCACAAAGCGAGGGGATAGCTGGTGACAGCAGGTGATAATAATGAATTACATTTACACAGAGGGACATGGATAGGCCTTCATGGTATCGTGCTTTGTAAACAAGTGACAGAATAAGACCATTTATATACAGTAAGGATACATGGACACAAAAGAACAATATAGGTCTTATAAGGATGTCTTCACACAGAAGTGAAAAGTGAAACTGTTAGTCATTCAGTCGTGTCTGATTCTTTGTGACCCCATAGACTGTAATCCACCTGGTTCCTCCATGGAATTTTCCAGGCAAGAACACTGGAGTGCATAGCCATTCCCTATTCCAGGGGATCTTCCCCACCCAGGGATCGAACTCAGGTCTCTTGCATTGCAGGCAGAGTATTTACTGTCAGCCACCAGGAAAGCCCCTGCAAACAGAAGGGTACATTCCAAATCTGTTAGAGTGGCTGTGCCTGTGGAGAGAGGGCCGTGAGTATGGAATATGGGAATGATGTCGAATAAAGAAACAGGAGAGAGGGTCATACAAACCAGTGATGATGTGTCCTGAACCAGGAGTGTGGTAACACCTCCTTCTCACGTGACCCTGCCTTCCTCCAACTCTCCCCTAACACGGGTAGAGGCCAGCCTCCTCGCAAACTCCTTCTCCCACCCTCACCCTTGTGGTCAGACTACTGCCCTGATGTCTTGCAGGTACAGAGAGAATCCGCCTTCCAAGTGCTTCATGGAGCACAAGGGCCGGCTGCCGGGTCCCACCTCCCTGGACAGCCGGCGGTGGAGATTCGTGAGAACGGGACAGGATGACTTCAGGAGAAGCTGCCCGCCTTGTGATGGTCTGACCGCTCTGGGCCCCAGGGAGGGCTTTCTCCCCCAAATTGATCACAGAGATCCCCAACCTGCCCCTAAGAAGAGGCATGCAGCCCTGTGTTCCAAGCTCTCACCGGCCCAGCAGGCACGGAAGGCATTCCTGGCAGACATTGAGGCCCAGCTGACCCTGCACCCCTTGGCTCTTTACCCGGACCTGGAAGAAGACATGCCCACCGAGGTGACCTCCTGTCCCAGGGTTGTGGGTGGGCCTTCAGTGGGGCCTGGAGAATGTTGCTCCTTTGATGCCTGGGGAGTTCCCTCCAGGAGTGAGGATGATGACTGTCTCCCTGGGGAGAGTTCTGGGGTGTGGAGCAGCCTTTCAGGAAATGCTGATGACAGCACCATACCGCGAAGAAGCCTGCCAACTCTGGCTCAGCAACCCAGAATTGTTTGACTTGTTTACCTCTGAAGCTCTACCAGTCAGTTTTGTTTGTGACTCCTTTGGGGGGAGAAAACAGTGGAGGAATTGTTCAGTCTTGCTTCTGACATTTTAGCCTGGTCTTGGGAAGTGTTCTTAAGAAGTTATTAATGGGTGGGCACCTGAAAAGTCACAGGGAAACTCACCAGATTGCCAGGACCAGAGCTGGGCGGCAGCTGCCATGTGTCATCAATGTCCCAGGATTCTCTGGCTTTCAGCTCCAATCAGCTCCTATGCACTTAGCGTGGGCTTCCCTGATGGCTCAGTGGTAAAGAATCTGCCTGCAGCGCAGGAGGTGCAGGAGACACGGGTTCAATCCCTGGGTCAGGAAGATCCCCTGGAGAAGGAAGTGGCAACCCGCCCCAGTATTCTTGCCTGGAGAATCCCATGGACAGAGGAGCCTGGAGGGCTATGGTCTGTAGGGTCGCAAAGAGTCGGATACAACATAGTGACTGAGCATGCACGCATGCATAGTTGCTTTACAATGTTGTTAGTTTCTGCAGCACAGCAAAGTGAATCAGCTGTATGCCTACATATATCCCCTCGTTTTTGGATTTCCTTCCCATATAGGTCACCACAGGGCCCTGAGTAGGCTTCCCTGTGGTCTACAGTAGGTTCTCTTTACAACTGGAATTTCTAATCAGTGGTTTGTCCCCCGGGCTTTCCTTCACCACCCTCCCGTGGACCAGAGCTTCTGAGTCTGTGACAAAGAGATCCTTTGCATGCATCCTTAGAGGGCACAGGGAACTGTGGTTTTTATTCTCATATCTGACCTCCTCAAATAGATGTGTTGTCTCCATCCTGAAGCAGGATCTCTTCTTGTGCTGCCGTGATTGCCACCAGCAACTCTAGATGTCAACTTTACTTTGGAAAACAATACGTCTTTGCATAGTTACAGGACAATTTCATGACCTAATTTCCCTGGGTCTCACTGGGTCAGCCAGTCACCGTAGGCCTGATTGGCCAGGCCAGGCTGCGGTGTGAAGAGCTGTCAGGCCAGTCTCAGACCACAGGGACAGAGAATGGAGGGAGAGGTGATTTTCCAAAGAAAAGTCTGGATACTGTTACTCATTGGAGGATGAATGGATGGTGAAAGTGAAAGTGTTAGTTGCTCAGTCGTGTCTGACTCTTTGAGACCCTACAGGCTATAGCCCATCAGGCTCCTCTGTCCATGGGATTTCCCAGGAGAGAATACTGGAGTGGATTGCATTTCCTTCTCCAGGGGATATTCCTGACCAAGGGATCAAACCTGGGTCTCCCGCATTGCAGGCAGATTCTTTACTCTTTGAGCCACCAGGGAAGCCCTGAATGGATTATAGGCAGTCCAAAACCACAGACACCCTCTAGAGGTACTTTTCTCAGTGAGGCACTGGGGTCCAGGTGGGCCCAGAGTCACTGTTCTATCTAGAGGAGATGGAAACTTCAGGAAAAAGGCTGCCCAGCTAATGACCACGGCAGCACACAACACTATGTTTGCACTGGAACTGATGAATGGTATTGACCACCTAGAAAGGCAAAGCAAAGGAATGTGTTGGTCTGTTGTGTTTGAGAATCAGAGAGCCCCCCTTTGCAATACATCTTTCTTTTCTCCTAAGTTGTTTTCCATTTGTAGCTCTTATTAAAGGTGCTGGAAGTTCTGGATCCTCACAAGAAGCTGGAAGACACATGGGCTTATTGTCAGGGCATCAGGAAAAAAATGAAAAAACCCACAAAACCTTTTAAAAAACATTCGACCCAAGTCTACTTGGGACTGTAAGTATGGTTCTTAGCCTCTTGCTCATTCCTGTCCCCTGATGAAATGTTCTGGTACAAATCTTCCTCGATTAACAGTGGGATTGCCTTGATAAGCCCATAATAAATGAAAAATACCATCAGTCGAAAATGCATGCAATACATTTAACCTACCAAATATCACAGCTTAGCCTGGCCCACCTTAAATATGCTCAGGACACTTACATTAGCCTACAGTTTGGCAAAATCATCTAACACAAAGCCTATTGTATAATAAAATATTGACTATCTCACAAAATTTATAGACAGACTACAGTACTGAAGGTGAGGAAAATGTTGGTTGTGTGGGTACAGGGTGGTCGTAAGTGTATGGGCTGTTGTCCCCCGTGATCACTTGGCTGGTGGGGAACTATGGGTCACTGCTGCTGCCCAGCATCAGCAGACAGGGTCATCACTGCATATCACCAGCCCAGGAAAAAAAATCCAGATTCAAAGTACATTTTCTTCTGAATGAATATTGTTTTGCACTATCGTGAAGTGGAAAAATTCTAAGACGAACTATCATTAAGTCAGTGACTCTCTGTAGTTACCTTCTCAAAGTTCCTCATCTTTAGAATACTTTAGGACTAATTAAGAATCTTTACAATAATTAAGAGAAGCAAAAGTAATTAAGTTCCTGAGAAGGAGGGAAAGGATCCTCGGGTCCTGCTCTGAGTAGTGTTTAGTCTGTTGTTGTTTAATTGCTTAGCCGTGTCAGACTCTTTTTGCGGCCCCATGGACTGTAGCCCACCAGGCTCCTCTGTCCATGCAATTTCCCTGGGCAAGAATACTGGAGTGGGTTGCCACTTCCTTCTCCAGGGGATCTTCCTGACCCAGGGATCACACCCCTTCTCCTGCATTGGCAGGCAGATTCTTTGCTCTGAGCCACCAGGGAAGGCTTTATCTCTTTGAAAGTGGAAGTATTAGTTACTTAGTCATGTCCAGCTCTCTGCCACCCCGTGGACTATAGCCTGCCAGGCTCCTCTGTCCTTGGAATTCTCTAGGCCAGAATACTGGAGTGGGTAGCCATTCCCTTCTCCAGGCGATCTTCCCAACCCAGGGATTGAACCTGGATCTCCTGTGTTGCAGGCAGATTCTTTACCATCTGAGCCACCAGGAAAGCCACCAGGAAAGCCCCTTATTTTGTTAAATGGATGCAAATTATCAGCAATGGAGGGAATTCAGCTGTGTCTACACTACTCTAGTAGAGCTGTGGGAAAAGAAAACTGCTGGAAACCTGAATGGTTTTGATTAGCCCACAATGGCTTTTAAAATTATTTATGGTAGAAGCCCTTTTATTCATTATGATTGAGACCAGTAGTTTGGTGAATTTAACCAAACAAACAAAACAAGGTTAAAACAAGAAACTGTTTAACATTTTCCTTTGAACATATAACTGGCATCTGAGACTTGACAAGTCCAAGCTGAAATCTTAATTTCTTCCCCAAACCTACTCCCCCTTCTGTTTCCTCCAGATCAGTAAGCAGTAACTCCATTGTTTCAGTGACTTTTGAAACAGTGGTTGCAATCTGCCAAAAAAATCCTAATACCTGTGCCTTTGAAATATATCTGGAATCTTGTCTGTTTTACTACAGTCAGTCTGTTCTGAGGTGCCATCATCTCTTGCCTGGATCATTGGAATGGCTTACTAACTAGTCTCATGGCCTACAGCCAGCCACCAACCCATGCCCTGTTTTATTTATTGCACTGTAGCTAAAGTGATTCTGTAAAACAAAAACCAAGAAACTTAAGTCGTGCAATATCAATCCTGTGCTCAATCCTGTACTTACTTATTCAGAGTAAAATCCAAAGTCTTGCCTCCCTCATGATCAGGTTCTGGTTATCTCTTAGCCCTCATCCTCTACTATTGTATCCTTCAATCACGCCTCTCCAGTCACAGTAGCCTTTTTGTATTTCCCATATATTCTCAGCTCTGACCTTGGGGACTTTGCAATGCTGTCCTTATCAGCCTAGTAGCGGCATGTTTTTTATCTACATGGGTTGGTCCCTTTCTTCTTCTGGGTCTGCTCAAATATTACTTTAGTAGAGAGGCCTTTTCTGTATAAAGAGCCCCCTGTCATCACTCTCCATCCCTCCTGCCCTGGTTTATTTTTCTTTAAATCACTTACAATCACCTGGTAATTTATGTTTGGGGCTTCCCAGGTGGCGCTAGTGGTAAAGAACCCACTTGTCAATGCAGGAGACTTAAGAGACAAGGGATCAGTCCCTGGGTCTGGAAGATCCCCTGGCAACCCACTCCAGTATTCTTGCCTGGAGAATCCAGTGGACAGAGGAGCCTGGCGGGCTACAGTCCATAGTATTGCAAAGAGACACGACTGAACCAATGCAGCGCACACCACGCATACTTACTTTTTTACCTCTTTGCTGTGTCTCCCTATCAATTGTAAGAACTTCTCTGGTGGTTCAGCTGGTAAAGAATCCCCCTGCTATACAGAAGACCTGGGTTTGATCCCTGGGCTGGGAAGATCTCCTGCAGAAGGGAAAGGCTACCCACTCTAGGAATTCTGGCCTGGAGAATTCCATGGACTGTATAGTCCATGGGGTCGCAAAAAGTCAGACACAACTGAGGACAGGGTCTTAACTTTATTTATTTTTGAAAATATTTTTTCATATTTAACTTTACTTTTGGCTGCACTGGGTCTTCATTGCTTTGCACAGACTTTCTGTAGTTGCAGCAAGTAAGGGCTACTCCGTGCAGAGCTTTGGCTTCTCTCACTGCGGAACATAGTCTCTGGGTGCTTGGGTCTCAGTAGTTGTGGCTCCTGGGCTCTGGAGCACAAGCTCAATAGTTATGGCACATGGACTTAGTTGTTGCCCAGTATGTGGGATATTTATGGATTAGGGATCAAACCCGTGTCCCCTGCACTGGCAGGCAGATTCTCAACCCCTAGACCACCAGGGAAGTCCCAGTTCTTAACTTTATTTACAGCTGAATCCTAATGCCTAGAATAGTACCTGGCACATGAAAGTGAAAATGTTAGTCGCTCAGCCTGACTCTTTTTGACCCCATGGGCTGTAGCCTACCAGGCTCCTCTGTCCATGGAATTCTCCAGTCAAGAATTCTGGAGTGTGTTGCCATTTCCTTCTCCAGGGGATCTTCCCAACCCAGGGATCAAACCCCAGTCTCCTGCATTGCAGGCAGATTCTTTACCATCTGAGCCAGCAAGGAAGCCATACTTGTTGCCTAATAAGTATTTGTTGAGTGGATGAATTAATATATGAGTGCTATGAATGAAAGGTACAGGATGCCTTGAATAAAAAGTATGGGTTCTGGGGACAGACTGTGCGACCTCTCTGAGGAAGGGAAAATATGTTGAGACATAAGGGGGGTAAGGGGTTGGAGAGAGCCTCGCAGTCAGATAGAATAACATGTCCAGAGGCCCTGTGGCTGGCTGAAAGCATGATGAATTCATGGAACTGAGGAAAGGCCACTATGGCTGGAGCTCAGAGAGTGTGGAAGGGTGGTAATTCCGGAAGAACCTGGAGAGATGGGCAAGGAGCAGGCCATGAAGAGTCTTGAAAGCTGAGTTAAGACTTAGATCTTTATTGGAGAAGTAAAAGAAGCTATTGAACACAAAATCTTGTACCTGAATATCCATAGCAGCATTATTCATTATAGCCAAAAGTAGTAACAAGTCAAATATCCATCAACTATCTGCTGATGGATAAACAAAATGTGGTCTATCTATACAGTGGAATATTATTCAAGTGTAGAAAGGAATAAACTACTGATACATGCTATAGCATCTATGAAATGAAAACATTATGCTAAGTGAAAGAAGCCAGACAAAAAAGATTATATATGGTTCCATTCAGATGAAATATACAGAGTAGGCAAATCCACAGAGACAGAAAGTAAATTAGTGGTTTAAGAGCAAGGAGAATGGTAGAGAAGGGAAGACAAATAGTGACTGTTAATGGCTATGGGGCTTCTCTTTCGGGGTGATGAAGATGTTCCAAAATTAGTGGTGATGGTCTTGCAACTTTGTAAATATACGAAAGCAACTGAATTGTATACGTATACTTTGAAATGGTAAATATTTTGATGTATGAATTATATCTCAGTTTTTAATAAGAAGCTATTGAAAAGACTTAATCCAGGATGAAATGTAGCTGCATTTGATAAGACTGAATTTATGTATTGAAAGGACAGTTTTGGCTACAATTTAGAGAATGGATTAGGAATTGGCAGTTGGGCCTTAAGAAAGATGCAGAGATACATTTTGTGACAGGCCAGAGAAGGGGACAGAATTAAAATCTAACAGATTTACTAATAGACTGAATTTTAAGGCTGAAGAGAGAAGCCAGGATGTCTCCAGGTTGTCAAAATTGTCTAAGACTTCAGAAGATTCCAATCACTATAATTTGCATTTTTACCTGATATAGGTCTTAATAAATAGTACTCATAATTTTTAAAAAAATTAACTTGCAATGATAAAATTCTATATCAACTTTAATTGTTCTGAATAACATGATATACTTATCTTTATGATATTGATAATGAGAATATGATCTTTGAAAATGTTAACACATAATTTGCATGAACTTGCAAGAGACTGTTAAAAATACATGCAATTATGAATTCCTCCCCAAGATACTATTTGAAATCCACTTGGACTCATGGCATCTTATACAATAATTCTTTGATGATTTCATTATCTTTAGTCCCAAGAAGACTCCTGTGTCACATCCATGCCAATGGCTTTATGAAAAAAGGAAGCCAAGTGAAACAGGTTTGCTCCAAAAGGATGGTCTGCTTCTTCACAAAAACATACGCCAAGGAGTTAGCGACTTCTGCAACTGGGCTGCTGCCTTTGTAAGTTACTAGTAATACTTTCAACCTACTCTTTACAATCTGAACTCAAAGTTGCTTTTGTTAAAAAAAAAAAAAAAGCAAAACTGTTTGTTAGTTGCTCAGCATTTGGATAAATCTGTCAAGTAGACAAAGTCATAAAGGCATCTTTTGACTCTCCCACCATGTGAAATAAAAATGTTTCTTGTAGGTGAAATTTCTGGAAAGTTTGCAAGCTTGCAGCCAATGTGTAAATGTTTATATGTCATATTGCTGTTGTTTCATGTATTATTTAAAGTGGCCCTTTGTTTTTCCTCAACTTTATTGAGATATAATTAATATATAACATTGTATAAGTTTAAGGTATACAGTGTGATGATTTTATACATGGGTATAGTGCAATGCTGGAGACCCATGTTCAAACCCTGGGTCGGGAAGATCCCCTGGAGAAGGGAATGGCTACCCACTCCAGTATTCTTGCCTGGAAAATCCCATGGACAAGGAGACTGGCAGGCGATAGTCCATGGGGTGGCAAAGAATCAGACACGACTGAGCAACTAACACTGTAACTATAAGAATGTACATACTTACATTCAAGTATGTGATCCAGTATTGTTACCTATAGTCATTATGCTTTACATTAGATTCCCCAGAACTTATTCATCATATAACTGGAGGTTTGTATCCTTCACTCCTTCTTCAGCTCATTTCTCTTGGTTATGTTGTTGTTCAGTTGCTTAGTCATGTCCTACTCTTTGTGACCACATGGCCTGCAGCACGCCAGGCTTCCCTGTCCTTTACCATCTCCCGGAGCTTGCTCAAGCTCATGTCCATTGAGTTAATGATGCTGTCCAACCATCTCATCCTCTATCATCCCCTTCTCCTTCTGCCTTCAATCTTTGCCAGCATACTCAGGTTTCTCTTCAGATCATATAAATCTTTCTTGGTTATATTTATCTTTAAGTACTTTGGAAGCTATGTTTGACTACAGTCATTACAAAAAGTATTTGACATGAAGAGACTTTTGACTCAGTTATCAAGTTCTTTTCTTGCCTTCTTAGTACCTATTCCTGTCCTTGGGTCCCCTTAGATGTCTAGATTCCTGATGCTGTTTCCTAGATTTAAGACCTTCTAGAATTTTACATCCCCCACCCTCATTTTTTTGAGTGCATTAGTCAGTTTTAGTCAATGTATTACTTAGGACTACTTCTTTGACAAATGGTATAATTCAGACTAGATTAAGGGAGAAAAGGGAATCATCCAGAAGTCTTAGGACCTTCAGGCACAGCTGTATCTGGGTGTTAAAATGTTTTTAGGCGCTCCCCCTATCACTTGGCTGCTCCCCTCTATCTGCCTACACTTTCCTATAATCTTTCCCTAAGACATGCCAAAGTAGTCACTAAATTTTTAAAACTTAAACCCCACCACTCTAACCTTTATCTCATAGGGGAAAATCCAGGGCTTACATTTACTGGACTAACCTGGGTCACACCTACGCATGAATTATCCACTATGAGTAAGGAGGTGATTATTGGCTAGTCCAGGTCACATGTCTTACCCTGAGGTCAAAAGATGGGCATGTCCAGCCTTCTGCGACAGATTGACTGAGAGTGGTGGAAGGAGGCTTCCCAGAGGGTGACTGGACTAGGGATGCTGGACAAGAAAGCACTCTGCCCACTGATGCCCACTTACCACTGCTTGTCTACAGTCAGGCTGGATGGGATTGCCTGATTTCCAGCTCTTCCACTTCTCCCATTCCTACTGCTGGAGACTATTCCTCTTTCAGCAGGAAATTTAAGGAACCCTAGGATAATAATTTAGGTGCTCTTGTGACCAGCTTCATCTTCAGTCCCTTATGACCAAGGTTACATCTTTATCTGTCAAACTACTTTGGTTCCTATCACATCACTTTGTGGTATTTTCTCCATAGCACTTGTTTATACTTTCCTTCCATGTTGTTTATTTTTTTTTTACCTGATTGATTCTGCTTGCTCTATTTCTGTTTCAATATTATTTCAGCCGAGTTTATACCCCTAACTCTATTTAATGATCCCTCTCTGCAAGTTTCACTTCAACATCAGCTTCAGTTGCTAATGACCTCATCCTCTATGTTCCCCAACTTATATATTCCAAAGTGGGATTTTGTTGACTCTGTAGGGGAGGGAAGAATAATTTTCCATTTACTCTTCTAAGTTCTCTCCAGGATCTCTACAACCAAAGACAGATTAACAACTAAAAAACAAACAGAAGCTTATTAACAAGTATACTTCATGTATACACGGGAGATACCCAGGAGAAAATGAGTAACTCTCTAGGTGGGCTAGAATTCAGGCTCAAACACTGTCTTCAGCCAAAGACAAAAGAGAAAAAGTGTGGGGAGTCTAACTGGGGAGTTGACCAGGAAAAACAGGAGAACAGGATTGTGATTTGTTGTGCAGATTTAAATGAGTGCCTTCTCTGTTGATAATATGATTTAGAGTCTGCCTTTTCCTCCTAGAATGGAGATGGAGACACCCATACAAATAGAGATTTTTTGAAAAAATTAATGTAAATTTCACTTGAAGGGTGACTTCTATTCTGTTTCTAAATTGTTTCCTGTGTTGTCTGCTGTTTCTCAAAATCAGCAGCTCAAAATAACCCTTGGGCCAGAGGCATATTTTGGGATGCTATATTCTACTATCCTTCAAATGTAATCTGTCTTTTAGCCACGTCATGATGATCAGCCTACAGATGTTTGCGTGCTGCATGAGTGCTCGGTTGTGTCTGACTCTTTGCAACCCATGGACTGTAGCCATGGACAGGCTCCTCTGTCCATGGGATTTTCCAGGCAAGAATGCTGAAGTGAGTTGCCATTTCTTCCTTCAGCGGATCTTCCTGACCCAGGGATTGAACCCAAGTCTTCTGTGGGTCCTGAGTTGGCAGGCGGGTTTTTGTTTTTGTTTTTTTTCTTAATCACTGAGCCAGCTAGGAAGCCCCTATGGATGATTAGGCGCTCTAAATGTGCCCATCTCTGCTCCTCTCAGTTTTGGCTGAGGGAAGAGAAGGAGGTTTGTTCTGTGCACAGAATGTGGCTTCAGTAGGAATCCCAAACAGAGCAGCTTTCCTTATAACCTTATAACATCTGTGGGCAGATCCATTTATAGACGTGTCTGGAAAATACCTCTAGAGATGTCACTCTTATAATGTGTTACAGATGTTTTTGATCAGACAGACTGAATTTTCCACAGCCCCATTATTTTCCTCAGGACTCCCTGCTTCTTATAGGTCCTAAGTTGTTTCGATGCGCTCATAAATCTCTCCAGACCCCAAACCCTTCTTGTCTCCTGCAAATGGTGACTGAGCGTTTTCCACCTCTTTTTTAAACTACCTCTCTCTTCTCTAGTCATGACCAAACACCTCCTTTAGATTAAAGAAAGAAGCAGGAACATTTCACCATTTGTCCTTGACTCATGTCCTGTGGCATTCTTCCAGGGGAGCCTGAACATTGATGAGGAGTTTATCCTGAGACAGTTTGACATTAACTATCAGAGCAAACCATGCTATAATGTGCTCCACACAATGAGACCCAGCCAGGTTCCTCTGGAGCTAAAGAAAAGGAGTGGGCTAAATAAACTGCAGGAACCACAGTTTTTCCAGAAACTAGACTGTGAGCAGAGACTTCGGAAGCCACAGGTAATTGCAAAAAAGGGGGAAGACTGAGAGTCAAATAAAATTAAATTATATCAAAGTATTAAATGTTCTTGAATTCTGGTACCTCAGAAGGCACTGACCTTTTTCAATAAAATTCTTGAAAAATTCTTTGATGTTTAATATTTGTTAAAAAATCTAATAAATAAACATTTGTTAAGTGAGTGAATATTTAATACATCTAACGAAGTCAATTATACAAACAAGGCATGCCTTTTAGCATTATTGGTGATATCTGAAGAGTCATTAGTTCTTTTTATGTGTTTTATATGTTGAAACAATCGGTTTGTTTTTGTATGTTGAAACTTATCTCATGCGTTTTACATGTTGAAATTCCAGTAGTCAGTAGAACTGTACATGTATGTTTACACTTATAAGAGTAAAATGCTGCAGTCAATGATTGGGGACAGTGTTCCAGTCCAAAGAATTCTTGAATTTTTATGGTGGTGTTTTTGACCACAAACCATCATTCTTGACCACATGCTTGCCTTATAATTAACAAATCGCTCAGTTTCCCAGCACCAGTTTCCTGTGAAGACAGAACAAGGAAACAGTAGAAAAAACAGGCTCTGTTCCAAAAGGAAGTACTATGAAACCCTAAGAACTTTTCTATACAATGTGTTAGTGCAACTATATATATACAAGTCAAATTGTGCCAGTCCAACAACAGATTGCAGTGCCTATGTGGGAGTTGTGGAGTGAGGAGGTTATACAGTTTGTTTCTCTGAAAGTGAAGATAATAATTACCTCTGTGTTTTATACTAAGTGCGTATTCAGTTGCTCAGTTGTGTCCGACTCTTTGCGAACCTCATGGACTGTAGCCCACCAGGCTCCTCTGTCCATGGAATTCTCTAGGCAAGAATACTGGAGTGGGTTGCCATTCCCTACTCCAGGTTTGATACTATTTTTCCAATATTTTTGACACAAAAACTTTGCCATTTATAATTGAACATAACCAGCTGACCTAGTTTTACACTCATGATGTTTTCCACCCTTGACTCTGTTGCATAAAATTTATGAAAACTGTGCATTCTGTCACTAATATCAGCACTTCAAATTTCCCATTTTCCACTCCTCTTTCTAAAGTGTAAAATGTAAAATGATCCTGGACAGGCAAATCATATCCACATGGTTCAGGCACATGGGGCCTGAACCACTGCTGGTTCTGAATCTGGGCTGAATGAACTGCTCAAGTCCCTGGACTTACAAATAATTGCCCAAATGCTGCTTTATAAAGCATGGTGGTTATTGCCAAAATCGAGCTTTTGACGGGCAGCTGGAGGATCACTGTGCAAAAGTTCAAATAGATTTCCACATGGTATCATTTTCCTTCAGTTTGAGGGACTTCCTTTAATACCTTCCTTTGATATCTCCTCTCTACCTGGGTTTCCCTGGTGCTCGGACAGTAAAGAATTTGCCTGCAATGCAGGAGACCCAGGTTCAATCCCTGCGTCAGGAAGATCCCCTGGAGAAGGGAATGGCATCCCACTCTAGTATTCTTGCCTGGAGGTTCCCATGGACAGAGGAGCCTGGCGGGCTACAGTCCATGGGGTCACAAATAGACACTACAGAGTGACTAACACTTTATACACATGTCACACTCTACCAGTGTAGATCTGCTAGCAATGAATTCTCCCAGCTTTTCTAGGTCTGAAGCTATCCTTATTCTGCCTTCATTTTAAAAGGTATTTTTGTGGGTATAGAATTCTAGGTTCAAAAGTTTTTTGTTTGTTTTCAGTACTTTAAAGATGCCCCACTGTCTTCTTGATTGTGTTGTTTAAATCTTATGTCATTCTTATCTTTGTCACTGATTTTGAGTACTGTGATTATTATACACATTGGTATTTGTTTCTTCATGTTTTTTATGCTTGGGGTTTACTAAGCCCCTTTGATCTATGAGTTTATAGTTTTCAACTATTGGGGGAAATTTTGGCCATTACATGGTCAAATGTTTTTTCCCTCAACCCCCTCCCAGGACTCCAATCACATGTAAATTAGGTTGCATGAAGTTGTCTCATAGATCACAGCTGCCCTGTTCAGTTTTGATTCTCTTTTCTCTCTGTGTTTCTATTGCTATGTCTTTAAATTCTCTAATTTTTTTCCTGCAAAAGAGGAGGGTAAGAGGAGAAAGGAGTGACAGAGGATGAGATGCTTGGATGGCGTCACTGGCTCAACGGACATGAGTTTGAGCAAACTTGGGGAGATTGTGAAGGACAGGGAAGCCTGGTGTGCTGCAGTCCATGGGGTCACAAAGAGTCGGACAGGACGTAGTGACTGAAGAGACATCTAGTGGGTGGAGACCAGGAATGCTGCTGAAGCTCTTGCAGTGCATAAGACAACACCCTCCCCCACCCTCAACAAAGAATTATCCAGCTCAAAATGTCAATAATGCCTAAGTTAAGAGACCTAATTTTAATCGGAGAAATGTTTAATGAGCACCGATTGTGTCCTAAGTATTGTTTAGATGCCAGTCTCAGATGCTTACATATTAGAAGGTGGGAGGTGAGACAAGCAATCAAGAAAAATATTTAGGACTTGCCTGGTGGTCCAGTGGTGAAGAATCCACCTGCTAATGCAGAGGACATGGGTTTGATCCCTGATCCTGGAGCATCCCACATACCATGGGATAAATAAGGCCATGCATCAAAACTACTGAGTCTACACTTTAGAGCTGCAATTACTGAACCCGCAAACCTCAACTACTGAAGCCTGAGCATGCCCTAGAGCCTGTTCTCTGAACGAGAGATGCCACTGCAATGAGAAGCCTGCAGACCTCTAGTAGAGAGTAACCCCTGCTTGCTGCAACTAGAGAAACCCCACTCAGAGCAACAAAGACCCAGCACAGCCACAAAGAAAAAAGAAAATATTTAGCATATCAGGTGGTAATAACTGCTGTTAAGAAAAATGAGTCAGGGAAAGATGACAAGCAGTATTGTGAGGGGGGTTACAGTTCTTGAACCGGGTGGTCAGGGAAGACACAACTGAATAGATGACCTGAAATAGGTAAGGGGTGAGCTATGTGGGTATCTTGGGGAAAAGCATTATGGAGAGGGAACAGTGAATGCAAAGGCACTGAGGCAGCAGTGCGACAGGTGCTCTAGAAACAGCAAAGTGGTCAGAAGGCTTGGAACGGAGATCATAATGCTGAATCCAGCTCTGAGAAGGGATTTCCCACCCGAGTATTTAGTCCCTTCCTGTGTTCTTCAAGCAGGTGTTTCTGGCTTGACTCTGGAATGACCCACACATTCCACCTCATAGTTTATAGATATGAGTGACCCCAGGGACTCAGTCCATGGAATTCTCCAGGCAAGAATACAGGAGTGGGTACCCATTCCTTCTTCAGGGGATCTCCCTAACCCAGGGATTGAACCCGAGTCTCCTGCACTGCAGGCAGATTCTTTACCATGTGAGGCACCAGGGAAGCCTGAGAAGTGGGAGGAGCAGGATCTTCGTGTTTCGTATCTCTTAGTCCTGTGCAAACATTAGACCTTTCACGATGAGACAGTGAGTGGGTATTGCATCACAGCACTGGCCCTCTGTGCACCAATTCCAAAAAGAAATATGGAGACAGAGTTTTGGAGGAAAGAGAGTAGCTTTATTTCTTTGCCAAGCAAAGAGGGAACATGGGAGGCAAGTGCCTCAGAAGCCGTGCCCTCCTTCCTGGGGAATAGGGAGAGGTCTTAGAATCAGGACTTGTAGCCAGGGTAGGTGATAAGGATGAAAACAGTGAAGGTCTCATATTTTTCTTTCTTCTGCAAAAATTTCAAAAGGGCCACAGCTGGCATCAGGAAGCTCAGTAACTGGGTCTGTTCTCCTCCAGAGTTATCGACTGGTGACCTTCTTCCTGAAATGAAGAATGCTACAGGGGAGTGTTACAAGAGAGTGTGGGAGAGAAAATGCCAGATGCAGGATACAATTCACATAAAGGATACAGTTCACATCAAGTCAGAAAGTGATTAAGGAATTAACTTTGTGAAGGACAAATCTAGTTGCATATTCTACAGATTAGTAACAGTCAAAACTGCAATTGCTTCACTTTAGGGACTTGGTTTGCTGTTTCTATGGCTATTAACTCCTTCCTTTGTTTCCCTTGCTTGTTATTAGGAAAGAAAAGTTTCATTTCTTTTTTTTTTTTAACAGCATGAAGACTTTATTTCATAACACTGAAATAGTCAACATTTTACATAACACATGTATTTTTTGAGGTATTCACCCATTTTATTGCACAATTCAATGATTTTTACATTTAAAGAATTGTGCAGCCATCACTGCAATCCTATGTTAGGACATTTCCATCAACCCAGAGATCTTTCAAGCTCATTTCCGGGAAATCCTCATTCCTACAGTCTGCTCCAGGCAGATCTACTTTCTTTTCTTTGTATTTGTCCGGAAAAGTTTCTGTTTTTGTTACAACGCTGAGTCATGGGAGAAGGAAAGACATGACATCTCTTCTCCCAGCTCTTTCTCTCTTTCAATTAAAGAGACAAGAGATTGGTGTTGGATAGCATTTGGATCCAAAGTTGTGTACCATTTACAAAACTGAGCACAGAGCTGGACTCATAATAGTAAGTTATTGTTGAAGGTTATTACCCTTCATTGAAATATTTGATTTCTAGCTGTTTTACATAATTCTTTCTTTTTTTTTTCTCAATAACCCTATGGGGTAGATAACTATTATCTCTATTTTACAAATGAAGAATTTGAGTAACTTGTCTGTGGACTCATAGCTACTAAGCTGGAGAGGGTGGGATTTGAGCCCCGGTTTGTCTAAATCGAAGGCCATGCTTACCCTACCACATTATTTTCTCAGTCATAAACTTTTCTTGTTTGTTACCGCATTATTTTCTCAGTTGTAAACTTTTCATGTTTGTAAAATCAAAGCCTACTGACACTTCATAAAATGCCTTGGAAAGGAGTAAGCGTAAATTAAAAATAAATGCTACCACTTTCACAAGTCTAATTTTAGATTTATTGAAATGACAAACCAAACAAACTAATGAAATTGGGAATTATGTTACTTGTACAGAAACCTCATAAACCAAAGTGGGTGAAGATGAGATATGGAGCATGGTATCTGAACCCCAACTTGTGGAAAAAGCAAAGAGCTGATGAACCTTTGGTTGACCCCAAGGTCTTATGTATAGCTCAAGATGAGAATTTTGAAAAGGAGATACAGAAGCAGGTATGTGTGTATGTTGAGACTTGATCATCTGACCTAGTGTAACTGCCTCCTCATATTGAAGTCAGAGTCTCTGGAGTAATTCAGAGGCTGCTGAAAGTCTTATAACTTGCATATTGAATTTGACAATGAGAAAGCCAAGTCACTTTATGGGGAATATGTAATAAGTAAGACTAGCATCATGGTAGACACAATGTCTCTAAAGATGGGGCAACCACTCCTGGTCCTCCTACTCTTCTTGAGTCCATGGATAAATTGGTTGTTCAAAGGGTGGTGTGACTTGGTAGGACCATCTCAGCTGAGAATGGATATAATGTCATGAGTTCTCTTTGAGTGAAAATGTGAGTTTTTTTTTTAATCAGCAATGAATGAATGTTAAAATTGTGATTAAAAAAAAAAACTACTTTTATGCCATTCAGCAGAGTTGCAGGATCTCTCTGAGAGAAAGGGGACAAAGGTTAATCACTGTTTGATGTTACGAAGCAACAAACACACACAACAAGGATATGTTCTGGTTTTACTGTAGATAAGTTTTGTGCCTGCCCATCTCTTGTGAGCAAGTACCTAATGGAAGAAGATGCTCACTATCATCCTGAAATTTTGGAAATTTTGATGCAATGCTTATACAGGACTCTGCTGAGAATATTTGTGATCCTCTTCTCTGGATCAGCAGATTCAAAACTTCTCCCAGATAACATTGTGAAAACATTTCAAAAAAGTAAAATGCTATAAAAGTTTGGCTACTCATTCATTCAAAAGTCACTCATCAACTGCCTCCTTTCGCTTGGAAAGCTGAGGCAGAAAGTATTTTATCTTTTCTAGAACTGGGTATGAAATTCTTATTTTCAAATGGGAAACATGACATGAATTTATGAGCCCAAGATGCTTATATATAAGCTTCAGAATAAATAATATTAGGCAGAATTTCTCATCAGACAGTTTTGGGGGCTGCCTGTCTAAATTTATGTGGTTTAACACATGACACGCTAGCAAAGTAATGCTCGAAATTCTCCAAGCCAGGCTTTAACAGTATGTGAACCGAGAACTTCCAGATGTGCAAGCTGATTTAGAAAAGGCAGAGGAACCAGAGATCAAATTGCCAATATCTGCTGGATCATAGAAAAAGCAAGAGAGTTCCAGAAAAACATCTACTTCTGCTTTATTGACTACACCAAAGCCTTTGACTATGTGGATCACAACAAACTGGAAAATTCTTCAAGAGATGGGAATACCAGACTACCTGGCCTGCCTCCTGAGAAATCTGTATGCAGGTCAAGAAGAAATAGTTAGAACTGTATATGGAACGACAGACTGGTTCCAAATCAGGAAAGGAGTAGGTCAGGACTGTATATTGTCATCCTTCTTATTTAACTTATATGCACAGTATATCATGCAAAATGCCAGGCTGGATGAAGCACAAGCTGGAATCAAGATTGTCAGGAGAAATATCAGTAACCTCAGATATGCAGATGACACCACCCTTATGGCAGAAAGCAAAGAAGAACTAAAGAGCCTCTTGATGAAAGTGAAAGAGGAGAGTGAAAAAGTTGGCTTAAAGCCCAACATTCAGAAAACTAAGATCATGGCATCTGAGCCCATCACTTCATGGCAAATAGATGGGAAAACAATGGAAACAGTGAGAGACTTTATTTTTTGGGCTCCAAAATCACTGCAGATGGTGACTGAAAGCATAAAATTAAAAGACACTTGCTCCTTGGAAGAAAAGCTATGACCAACCTAGACAGTGTTTTACAAAGCAGAGATATTACTTTGCTAACAAAGGTCCATCTAGTCAAAGCTGTGATTTTTCCAGTAGTCATGTACGGATGTGAGAGTTGGACTAGAAAGAAAGCTAAGTGCTGAAGAACTGATGCTTTTGACCTGTGGTGTTGGAGAAGACTCTTGAGAGTCCCTTGGACGGCAAGGAGATCCAACCAGTTAATCTTAAAGGAAATCAGTCCTGAACATTCACTGGAAGGACTGATGCTGAAGCTGAAACTCCAATACTTTGGCCACTTGATGTGAAGAACTGACTCACTGGAAAAGACCCTGATGCTGGGAAAGACTGAAGGCAGGAGGAGAAGGGAACAGCAGAGGGTGAGATGGTTGGATGACATCACCGACTTGATGGACATGAGTTTGAGCAAGTTTCAGGAGTTGGTGATGGACAGGGAAGTCTGGCATGCTGCAGTCCATGGGGTTGCAAAGAGTTGGACACTACTGAGCAACTGAACTGACTGACTGAACATATGACATAAAACAGTTCCAGCTCACTTGCAAAAAATAACTGAACATCCTCAATGAGTTAAATATTTAAAAATAAAAACAGTTATAAAACTTTTGGTTAAGGTGTCTAGAAGTTCTCTTTTAAGAAACATATTCTTTTTTTTAAAGTTTTTTTTGATGTGGACCATTTTTAAAATCTTTATTGAATTTGTTACAATATTGCTTTTGTTTTATGTTTTCGTTTTTTGGCCCCACGACATGTGGGATCTTAACTCCCTGGCCAGGGATTGAACCCTCACCCCGCTTCATTGAAAGGTGAAGTTTTAACCACTGGATCACCAGGGAAGTACCAAGAAACATATTCTTAAAGACTTAAATAATTTTACAAAAAGATTTATCTTAGTGGTGAAAGCCAGTAAAGACATTTGTCATAAGAGTTACAGTCAGCTCATGAAAAAGAAATAATACTTAAATTTTGGAAATGTGGTTTATAGAGCTATTACAGTAAAAGACTGCTTATCAGGCAGTTTAGACACAGGAAGGACTCAAAGCAATAGAATTTTTCTGTAATGATTTTTGTAAATCACACTTTTGTAATACCTGAAGACTGAATATCTTGTGTACTTTAAGTGATGCCACTTGGCTATGCACCTCAGTTCACAAGACATGTTTGCAGTCATGTGCTAGTTAGGGCCAGTCACCATGAGGGCATGGCTGTCTTGCTGGAAACACGAGTTTTGACTATTCTTGATTGAATTCATTTGGAGAGTGAAATGGCCTTAAAGAACTGAATTACAATGACAGAAACTTCTACATCAAGATTTTAAATTCAAATAAATTGAAGAAAAACCAAATGAATGCATGAATACTCCAAAGACATTGGGACTGCATCCAACCTTTTTTTTTTTTTATCATGCCCTTTGGAGTTAATTCTAAAATTTGCAGATATATACTGAGTAGGAAAACACTCCCATTTCTTCCTCTACCACTCTCAATTCTGGTAGGCAAATGTGCTGCGGTTTTATTTCTCCACACCAAGCAGTTTTCTGATTCTCCAACAGCAGCTGGATGTCTTACGATTGTACTCAGTTCTGACACTGCCTACCTGGAGACAGCATCCGATCCCACAGTTTGAAGGCTCAGACCCCAGGACTGCCCCCACTGCAAATGCCAGCCTCAAGTCCAGGTTGTCACCCATGCTTCTGGCTGAGTGGCTATAAATCGAAGGTTCCCATGACCCCCTCCTTGGGTTTGATCGTCTGCAAGAACAGCTCACAGAACTCAGGGAAACAGTTTACTTACAATCTAGTAAGATTACTGTTTATTATAAAGTTCAGTTCAGTTCAGTTCAGTCGCTCAGTCATGTCTGACTTTTTGCGACCCCATGAATCGCAGCACGCCAGGCCTCCCTGTCCATCACCAACTCCCAGAGTCTACCCAAACCCATGTCCATCGAGTCGGTGATGCCATCCAGCCATCTCATTCTCCTCCTGCCCCCAATCCTTCCCAGCATTAGGGTCTTTTCCAATGAGTCAACTCTTCACATGAGGTGGCCAAAGTATTGGAGTTTCAGCTTCAACATCAGTCCTTCCAATGAACACCCAGGACTGATCTCTTTTAGGATGGACTGGTTGGATCTTCTTAAAGAGGTACTTTCAAAAGCAGCCAGATGGAAGAGATGCACAGGGCAAGGTATGTGAGCAGGACTCAGAGCTCCCTTACCTTCCCCAGGTACCTTCACATCCTTACAAACCTGAAAGCTTGCCAAATCCCCTTCTTTAGATTTGTACAGAGGCTTCATTATACTGGGCTTCCCTGGTGGCTCAGATGGTAAAGAATCTGCCTGCAATGCAGGAGAGCCAGGTTCAGTCAACTGGGTTGGGAAGATCCCCTGGAGGAGGGCATGGCAACCCACTCTAGTATTCTTGCCTGGAGAATTCCATGGACAGAGGAACATGGTGGGCTACAGTCCATGAGGTCACAAAGAGTCGAACATGACTGAGCGATTTTAATTGATTACATCACTGGCCGTTCCTGATTAATTCAACTCCAACTCTTCTCCCCTCCCAGGAGGTTGGGGTTGGAGCTGAAAGTGCCAACCCTTTAATCACATGGTTGGTTTCCCTGGCAACCCACCCCCATCTTATAGCTATCTAGGGGGTTTCCAAAAAGACCTCATTAAGATAAACTCTGACGTGGCTGAAAGGTGCTTGTTAAGGAAAAACTCACCTCTATGGCTTTTATTACTTAAGAAATTTCAAGGCTTTTAGGAGCTCTGTGCCAAGAATGGGAAGAAGACCAAATACATATTTCTTATTATAAATCACGGGCTTTCCTGGTGGCTCAGACAGCGAAGAATCCACCTGCAATGCAGAAGACCTGGGTTCGATCCCTGGGTTGGGAAGGTCCCCTGGAGGAGGGCATGGCAACGCACTCCAGTATCCTTGCCTGGAGAATCCTTATGGACAGAGGAGCCTGGTGGGCTACAGTCCATGAGGCCGCAAAGAGTCGGACATGACTGAGTGACTAAGCACAGCATAGCACATTATAAATCACAGTATCACAGTTATTAATCTCAAATAGAGTCTAGACATCCTAGATCAATAATTATCTAATTGATAAAATGTGTTGCTTATCCTTAGTACAGAAGTAAGAAAAAGACCAGGGAAAAGAAAGTTGGGTATCTTTTGAAAACCTTTGTAGTCATCAACTTCTGAACATTATTTATACACATATTCCCACATGAGAAGGAAGTAGTTTAAAATGAGGTACTTGATAAAGGGCTCAGTGCTTTTAATTAGGACAAGGATGACATTAAGCTTCTGACAGCTGACTCTCTTTTAAACTGTGGACCCTCTTTCAGGAGGAGTTACTTGCAGACCTTCATGGAACTATTGCCTTTAAGGATTTTATTCTGAGCAAGGGCTGCAGGATGCCGAGTGTGAGTAAAGGGTCATTTTGGAGAGACCCGCTTAGGGGCTCACAGTTGCTAATGGGAAAGGGGTCAGTGCCCTGATGAAATACTTCTTTTCCAGGCGCACACCAGGGCTCAGCCCCGGAGAAAGGGTGTGCTTACCCCAGACAGGGGCCCACAGATGGCGTTTGTTGTTTTGCCCTTTTCATTCTGCCTGTTTGCTTCCTGTTGACTCACCTTTGGATTTGGCCTTAATGGGACCAAATGAAAGGGATCTGTGTGCAGGGCGAGAGGCTGCTGCTAAAACACTGAATCCGTCTCTCTCACTTCCACTTCTAAGGTCAAGGAGCCGTGCTGGGGTCAGGACCAAGTGAAGCTGGGTATCACAGTAGTACTATTGTGCTATATGTGGGCAGGAGGAGAAGAGGGTGAGATGGTAGGATGGCATCACCGATGCAATGGACATGAGTTTGAGCAAGCTCCGGGAGATGGTGAAGGACAGGGAAGCCTGGTGTGCTGCAGTCTGTGGGGCTGCAGAGTCAGACACGACTGAGCGACTGAACAACATCCTCCTGTGCAGGATGCAGGAGGATGCAGACTAGGCCAAAAGGTCACTTCCCGGGCACCCCTGAGGGCCCTTCTGTCTTTTTCTCACTTTGTGTTGCCCCCTCCGTGAGCCTGGGCAGCTGGCCCTGCTGCCTCCCATGTGGAGACTCCCCTGGAAGATGACAAGAGTGGGGCGGGAGGCTGGCAGAGCAGACCGTTGAGCAGGAGGGCCGGCAGCCTGGAGCTCTGTCCCCAGACCAGCCTGTCCCCACGGCAGGAAGCCAGGCCGACCTGGGGCCCGAGTCATGGCTGATAAATTCTGAGTGTGTCCAGCGTCCTCCGGGTGCACTCGGCCCGAGGAGTCTTTAGGAGGCCGTGCAGCCGAGACGGCAGACTTTCCTGGAACTAGGATACTGGATTTCTTTTTTCCAAGAGGGGTAGAATGAATAAAAACTTATACTGACTGTCAAATGGCGGAGAAGGAAATGGCAACCCACTCCAGTATACTTGCCTGGGAAATTCCATAGACAGAGGAGCCTGGCGGGCCACAATCCATAGGGTCGCAGAAGAGTCTGACACCTCTGAGCGACTAACAACAACACACTGGCAAATAGGTATTTTGATCAAGCTCAGATACAGACTGATTCAGAGTTAAATCAGGCAATGTGAGGGGAAAGTCTAGTGTGTGACATAGACCAATGGGCTAAAAGACTCTGTTATAGAACTAGGAATGAAATCTATCCTTTAGCTCTGAGCATAAACTATAGGCCCGTTAGATGTAGTAATGTACTCATACACATTTATGTATTTATAATAACTGCCTCATTTTCATATACAGCCTACATAAGTGTATTATATGTATAATATATAAAATATGCTTATATATTTTATGTGATTATATAATTGTATAGATGATTATATAATACATGCAAACTTATACTTAGCTTAAATATAATTATGTGTACATATATATGCAGACATATTAATATATATTCTTGCCAAGGAGATTGTGTGTTTGTGTGTGTGTATATACATATACATATATACATATATATGTTGTAATTGGGTATCTTGATATTACAATGACTCATAGTTTTTCTGAATTTTCTTAGTGGCAAGAGATTTGTTTTTTCATTTTGCTTTGTCTCCTTTTCATTTAATCCATTCTGTTGATGAACATTTAATTCAATTTTGGGCAAAAAGAAGCATGCCTGAATCACTGGCTACTCTTTTAGCTGCATCAACTGAAGAGAGATGAGATGATGCCCCTGGTTACAGTTGAGTCCCATGAGAACACCTGCAAGTCCAAACCCTGGAATATTTTCTCCCTTTCTTATATCTTATATCCTTGATTTTATCAATAACATTTCAACTAAAAGAGAGGAGGAACTCTATTATGGTAAATTATATATATATAGTCCTTTAGTCATTACTTGTTTAACTTCATATATGAGCTTTATTCTCTTTCACTCCCCTAGTTTCTATGTACACTGTGTATATACACATTTATATTTGTTACATGAGCATAGGTACTTACACATTCCAGTGTCCGCTTCTGGATTAACTGCTCTGTGCATTACTGACAGCTTCATTCCCTCAGCTACACAGAGGTCCAGGCCTTTAATAGCAGAGATGAGCAGTACAAGGCTGTGCTAAGCTGGGCTTAGCCATAAAATGAGTGTGAATTAATCTAGGCATTTCTGATGATATGCAACTAGCTTCCAAAGTCCACCATCTAGCATGGTCTAGTCATCAACATCTGATGCTGAGTACTATAAGGATACACAGTAGAGTATGAGATTGTGAATTCAGGTATGGTAGTGGTTCTGACCAGACTGTACAATTTTCATTTGCCAGTTTTAGCTTCTCTGATCTTTTTTCTTTTTTTAGTTCCTTGAGAAGATGTATATGAAGAAGGAACGTAAACGTGAGTGTAACCAGAGTCCTATAAAATAACTCAAGCATAGAAGAATCTTGGGAAGATGATTAGACAGTTTTCATTTACTTAGCTATTTCTCTCTTGTTAAACATTAAACAAAATTTATGATGAATGTCCCCCCACAAATGTACAACTTTGACTTGGCAACATCCATAAAATTTGTAACTAATACTTGTAAACTTTTCAGAATGGTCTTCTGTTTCAGGTAATCAATATTTTATATATCTTATCAACTATGAGATCAATATTCATATTTGGTGTTCTAACACTTTTGTAGCATTGTCAATATAACATAGTTATATCAACTATTTGTGAAAATAAATAAAACCTTTAAAAAAGCTGAATTACTTTCTTGCATTTTTCCAGAGTACTATTTTCCCTGCTTTGAATGAATGCCTCCTTTACTTTTTGTTTACAATATAATCTTTCATTTTGAATTCAGCTTACTGAGGATTTTTCCCCATTTTTTGGCATGTTAGTCTTGATAATAAATGTGTACTCATAACATAAGGTCATGGATCATAAAGTTTAATGAAAACTCAAGATAACATTTTAAAATTAAATTTAAAAAACATTTTTATTAAAAGTGTTAATGCTTATGTTAGGAAAATTAGGAAATATAGACTAGCAAAAAGAACATTAAAAAAATACAAAGAATTTCTGTAGAGTCTGCAATAACCACTCTTTAGTCATTGGAATGCATCTTTCTAGATCTTTCTCTCTAGATAATTTAATCAAAAAGAGTTTATTAAAGGGATATTGGGGAGTTCCCTGGTGATCTAGTGGTGGTTGACTCCACACTTCCAATACAGGGGGCTTGAGTTCGATCCCTAGTTGGGGGTCTCCTGCAAGCCACGTGGTACAGTCAAAAAAATAAAGATGAAAAAGGATATTTGCAAGTTTTATCAGTTACTGTATGTGTCTTCAAATCCAGAATCTCTGGCTGATGGATGACCTTTCATCCTGTGGGACTGTCATGGTCCCATTTCAATAACCCGTAGCTGTGAATGAGTCTTTATGTGTCCAGACATGTTCGGGTGATGGAGTACACGAGAGAAGCAGTGAAGCCATAGTGTCAGCCCACTGCTGTGAAATGAGTTTCAGTGTCGACTGGGATACCACAGTGGTGAATAAGCAGTCAGGAAGTCTGTGAATGTTAGTGTAGGCAGAAGTTTGTTAGGCAGGAAAGCAAGTCCCATTCCAGAATTAGTTGCTATTCTAGTAAGGCCATTTCCCCCAGACTCCCTTGATGTTTCACCTCATCGTACATTCCCACATCGTAGCCCATGGGAGCCACGAAGGGAGAGCTGCTCAGCCTGCAAGCCCAGAGGAGGAGGCATCCAGTTGTACTAGGCAAGCTGGGGCAGGATTTGGGCATTCAGTCCCGTAATTCTGACTTTCAAGTGTTGAGTGGAGGAGGTGTTGGGGGTGGTCTGGAGAGAATTCACTTACTTCCCTGGACACATTGTTCTTGGCTTTGTTACATTCAAGCCTAATTTATATCAGGGACTCAAGTTTGGTTTTAATTGCCAGACAACTATTCCGCAGAAGCTGTAGCTAGATCAACCTTAGTGAATGGAATTCAAGATATTGCATGTGGAGCCTGCATTTCTGCCTCCATGCTTAAGACATCTCTGGGCAACATTGCTGCTCCTGGAGAAAGAAGGGGGCTGGCATGCAGAGGCTAGGTTAAACTTTCCCTTAATTATTGAGTGCTTCCTCCATAGTGGAGTCCTTTGGGTACATATTCACAAAGAACCAAATCCCCTCATACTCTGGATCCATTCTGTGCAATCCCCTGTATACCTCTTCTCCCAAACCTCCTTGTCACTAGCCCTGCATTCATGATCCTTCCAAGTCTCTGGCTTCGAAGCTAAGCCATCAGCTGCTGACCATTAATTAGTGACACATGCTCCTCAGGCCATTTCTCCTTTCACACAAAGTGGTCAACGGGATGAAACGCTTGCATTTCTGTCTGCTTGAAAAGTCCTCTTCTCAGCTGTTCTTCAGGGCCACCCTTGAGTTGGGCTAGAGTGTCAAGGCAGTCCACTCGTGGCTGCTGCCATCATATTGTGGAGGCTGTCTGTTTCATTACCCAGACTTAAAGAACATCCCCAGGTGAGGCGTATAGGCTGAGGAAGATGGCAGTGTGGTAGGAGTGGGCACACCGTGTCTTCAATTTCTGGTCAAACCCAGTCCTAAATAGAAAACTGTCACCTGATTACAAGAAGCAATATAACTTGATAATTAAATCTGTGGACTTTGGAGCTGGAGAGCCTTGATTCAAACCCAGCTCGCTCCTTATTAACTGTATGACTATGGAGCAAATTGCTTATCCCCTCTCTGCTTCAGTGTTCTCATCTAATGTAGGGATGGTAGCAATAATAACAGTACCATCTCCCAGAATTGGGGTGGGGATTAAAAGGAATGTTAGCAGTAAAGTGCTTAGAGTGGAGCCTGGCACCCATGCGCACACACTAAATGTTAGCTGACTTTATGGCTTAGGGGATCAGATGACCCCCAGTTGACGATGAGCACCAGTCGCTTGGTTACCTAAGGTCTCATGATCAGGCTGGTGTACGAGCCGGCGCCAAGCAACAAGCTGAGACTGGTTCTTCTAAAGGAGAGCGGTTCCATGCCCCAGAGCTCACAGCTCAGTTGCAAAGCCCTGGGGCCCGAGCTCTGATTCGCCTTTCTGGCCGTGCCAAAGCTCCATTCAGCCGCTCTCTGGGCCACAGGTGCTTCAGGCATTCTGCCTTTGCTGGATCAGAGGGCAGAGATTTCTGGAGCATCTGAAAGCCTCCTCTCACTTCAGGCCACCCTCCAAGCTGGCAGCCTCTCAGATTACTAAAGACATGAGCTGAAACAGCACATCTAAATCTGGCCTCCAAAATCCAAAGAGTAGTGCGTGTAGCACATCATTATATGTTATTTCCAACTCCCAAGTGTAATAGATGTAAATAACCTCAGGAGTGTAGATACTAACAAAGAAGGGGCCAATAGCCAGGAAGTGATGAATTTTTGAATTTTATTCCATTTGGCTTTAATATAATTTATTTTAATTGTAAGTATATTTAAGTTTTTTAAATTTATTTTTGACTGTGTTGGGTCTTAGTTGCAGCATCTTTGTTGCATCATGCAGAACTTTCATCTTGGCCCATGAACTCCCTAGTTGTGGCATCCGAGCTTAGTCACTCTGCCCAATGTGGGAATCTTAGTTCCCTGACCAGGGATGGAACCTGAGTCTCTTGCATTGCAAGGTGGATTCTTAACCACTGGACCACCAGGGCAGTCCCCTTAAGTCTTAATAATGACTGTGTTTAACAACCAGCTCACTAAATTCTTGAAAAGTTAATAATTGGCTTTTGTGAGCTGGGATAAACTGTCTCTAGCACATTACTGATAGTAGGATTCAAGTCAGTGGCCAGGGGTAGGGGGAGGGTGTTAGGGGTGAAGAATAAAAAGAATTGTCTACCCCCAACCTCCTTTTGGGTTATTTTCACAAAAACCATTTTAGGAGTCTTCATGAAACGTGGGAAAAACCTCACCACAGAGGGGAGTAGGGAGAAATTCTCTGACAAGGAAGGCTGCACTCGTTTGGGCCTTTATTGCTGTTCAGTCCCCAAATCGTGTCCGACTCTTTGCAACCCTGTGGACTACAGCACGCCAGGCTTCTCTGTCCTTCACCATCTCCCAGGGTTTGCTCAAAGCCGTGTCCATTGGGTCTACCAAGGAGCAAATGACAAAATGGCATCAGACGTCTGAGAGATTTACTGGGGTTGGGAGTAGGAGAGCATAGGAAGAGTCTTTAGATTCTGATGCATGTGTGATTCCCCGTGGAAGGAAAGAGGGAAGGAAGAAGAAGACTTGAGTTGGAAGAATTTTGACTCCAGCACAATTCAAGTAAAGGTTTGGCCAGACCAATGGGAAGACCTCAAGTCAAGGTTGACAAGCAGAGGCATCTCACATTGTGCTAAAACAAGCCTGCCTTGGTAGGTCTGCATGCTCAGTCATTGGCTGGGAGCAGCCCAAGAGAGCACGACCCTGGTGAGGGGGTAAAAGATCCTGAGGAGTAGCAGCTGGGTCCATCAGTCACTTGTACTCCCTGCAACAGGTGATCCGAGCAACATATTTTCATAGGGCTGGGAGATGAGAGAACGTGAAACCATCTGAACATTCCCATATGGTCACAGTTCAGCATTTAGGATCTCACTGTTTCCCATCAATACTCTGCCTTCACATAAGAGACTTTGCAAAGCTGTAAATTCAAATGGTATTTAAAAAAATTTTTTTTAAATTTGCTTTATGAAGATACAGTTTACATATAATAAAAGTCATCCGTGTTAAGTGTATAATTCTTCTATATTTAACAATATATGAAATCATGTGACCACCACCACCACCATCAAAATACAGAATATTTCTAACAATATTAAAGGTTCCCTCTCACTCCTTTCCTTCAACCCTGATCTCTGTCTTTCTATGGCTATTAGGTATTCTTTATTACAAAATGATTTCAGCATCCCAGAATATATAGAGAAACGTGGCTCTTTCGCTCAGGCCCGTGGCACCGGCAGGACGGGCAAGTGTCGCAGTCTTCATACTGCCAGGAAGCTCCGTAGCCACTGACGAGACCAGATGTGGCATGATAAACAGTACAAGAAAGCCCATTTGGGCACAGCCCTGGAGGCCAACTCTTTTGGTGGTGCTTCTCATGCCAAGGGCATTGTGCTGGGAAAAATAGGAGTTGAAGCCAAACAGCCAAATTCTGCCATCAGGAAATGTGTCAGGGTTCAGCTAATCAAGAATGGCAAATAAATCACTCCTTTTGTACCCAATGATGTTGGTTTGAATTTTATTGAGGAAAATGATGAAATTCTGGTTGCTGGATTTGGACGCAAAGGTCATGCTGTTGGTGACATTCCTGGAGTCCACTTTAAGGCTGTCAAAGTAGCTAATGTCTCTCTTTTGGCTTTATACAAAGGCAAGAAGGAAAGACCAAGATCATAAATTTTGA